ACACTTTTCGCCTAAGATGCTTTGTTGATAAAGTTTTAGTTATTATTCGATCTTCGTGATAAAAATATATATTTCGCTATGAGTGCCAAATGTATATCGCGTTTCGAAGTTGTATTTCTTTGTACATATCCGAAAGGACCAAAAATGTCACGCCAAGTAGCTGCTAAGTACATGAGAAAATCAAAAGCATTTGTAAATAAGTGGGTCGCTACTTAGAGGTGAAAAATGTCGATGACTTACCAAAACGTGGCTCTACGCAAGGATTTGGCACTTTGCATATCTTCACAAACCACTTAAACGCAAAATGGTCAAAATTTATGAGAAGACTTTATTACTATCTGCTCAAACATAGAAATTTATAAGGAAAAACGAAAAATGGATACTATAAGAGGACAATGACCCTAAACATCAAAGTCGGCTTTGTACCGCATGGAAATAAGAAAATAATGTTGAATTACTGGATAGGCCGTCACAGTCATCGGATGCAAATCCCATCGAAAATGTTTGGTCCTTGATGAAGTTTAAACTTCGTGGAAAGAAAATTTGATTGGTCAAGAAATTAATACGACAAATTCGACTGATATAGAGATCTTTACCTCAAGAATATGCTATAAAATTAATTGAAAGTATGCCTCGGAGATGCCAGGCAATTATTAAGGCTACTGAACAAGTTATTAATAATAAAACATCACAGTTCTCTAGTCAAGTAGTATGTATATATTTTATTCCAATTATTTCAATAAATTATTTCAATAAATTATTTATCAAGTTTTGCCGTACACGCTCTTATCAAACAGACTGTACATCTATGGTCCTCTCCTAGCATAAAATTAGGAGCCACGAGATTATTAATTATTATGTAATATTTAATTTAAAAAGGTTCTTTATTAATAAAAACATGAAAGGTATTATGTTTTACATTTATATTGTCCTCCAAACATAATATTGCAACTTTTGTAGTTCATACATGATTTGTAGAAGCTCAAACAATAAATGCAATAACTATTTATTTTTATTTTTTAGTCATCAACAATTTATCTAATTGTTGAAATGAGATTATAAGATCTCAAACGATGTAGAAAGAAAAAAGAAAAGTCCTCTAGGGCGATTTTTGTGGAAAACACGCTTTAAAAACCATATTGATAACGCAGAAAGCTTAATACAAAGGTACTCCAATGTTTAACAATCCGGGAGCACGGGTTCTCGTTATCCGATCGAGAAAAAGTTTGGCAGGGATTTCTTTTTTGTCAAATGGAAACTTTTTGGAGAGTGCCACGAGAAAAATTCGAAAAAAAATTTTGACCAAGAGTAAATAAGGACCACCCTAATGGATATCCTAAGAATGAAATATGCTATGTAGGTTTAAACATTAAAACATGCTTTCGAATTGCGATTTTTAGGAACACATTATTTAAAATTTAAAATATATGATGTCAGATACCATTATTCGTCAACTGTCATCAATACCTGATTTTGATCCTGAGCATAACGGAACAAATCCACAGTCTAACTATAACTCTGAAGAACCATCTAAATTGAAGAAAGGAGATCGGCATAGCAACTTAAAACAACAAACTAACTAAATTATAAATATTCAATTTAATAACTTCTCTAAGATTTTGATATGTTTCACGTACACGACGTTCACAAAATGTCGCAGGAATTCATTATGACAATTGCTATAGCAATAACGTGCATAAATCTCATAATCGGTACTGTCGATCAATTATACATAGTTTGACAAATGTCATTTAATGGATATCATAAAAACGTCTAAAATAGGATGTGTTTAAAACGTCTAAAATAAAATGTCTATAAATGTCTTTAGATAACGTTTTAAATAAGACGACGTGCGCATGTTGTTTAGGATATTATTTACACATTATATTTTTGTTATATAATCGTAATATCGCTTGAAAATTAATTAACTAACGTATACAAGGTGTTGCACTAACATATGGAGCAGTATAACGGGTTGCACGACCGATTTTTCAGGAGCACGCGTGGTCGAGCGCAGTTGAGTAGGTAATGACATATATTTTTTTACGTATTTTATGGTATTTTACGTATTACCTGCTAAACCGCGCTCGACCACGTGCGCCCCTGAGGAATCGATTGCACAATCTGTCATCCTGCTATGTTGGTGCAATACGTTATACGTTGTGCGTAACATGCATGTTATATTGTATGTTACATTTCGTTATATTATGGCATTTATAAGTTATATTATTGTGTTTACTGGAAAGTTTAAGATCACTGATCAAAATGTGTTAAGAATAATTATTAGGATGATAATCCATATAATTATTCTTGATAAATATTTTTATCAATAATCTAAAATTTTTATCAATATTGTATGTCATTTATGTGTACATTATAATTTTATTGTGATCATTTGATATCATATTTTCCAAATAAATGTTTTGCATTCGAATTGTTTCCAAATATGCAAAGTATTTCTATCATCGATAAGTATTTTTTTTTTATTGAGACATGTATAACATTATAATATATGAAAAATTGTTAATTTTATAATTTCCACCATATATAGTCTATAAACAAGATGATGTATTGTCATATTTTTTCTTTTTTTTTTTAAGAATTTTGTACGTAATCTACCAACTCTGGAAAAATATAAGTCAGGAATGATTAACTTCGTAAGATTACTTGTACACACTTTCGTCAATAAACTCAACATAGATAATATAACTCTTTTTCATATATTACACATGTTGTGATCTACTTCATTGCTTATAACCGAAAATCATCTATAATTTATATCAATTTCAGGTGAAAGTGACTATATTACACGGCTCTAAAACATTCCGATAATAATAGAATTCCGAAATAATTTGTACTTACGCGCGCGTGTACAGTATATTATAAATATATGCAAATTAGATCCGTGAATTTTGTTCTTATCGTTCTTTATTCTTATATTGTTTGATTTTAATCTAATAACCTTATAACCATTCACTAGAAATTTATACATGCACTTATAAATATCATGTATAGTCCAATTTGATTTTTGCAAACGTCGCTTGCATCGCTGAATAATTAAATTCATAAACCGCTATCTAGACAACAACACAAAAAAGCATACAAATCATCCACTGACTTAAGGAATCCATTAATAAGAGGCTTACACTTCGTAGTTATCGCTAATTTACCAGCTGAATAGGACACCGTTCGATGAGAGATCATACGCAGACACCGTAGTTTGACAACTCGAGATTTAAATTAAATATTATACAAGTACGCGCGTTTTTTTCTACATCTGGATATCACTTTTATATTTGAATTTTATTAATCTGATATTTATAAATCATTGAAAAAAATTAACGAATAGTAGTTTCATTTCAAAGCGAAAAATAATGATCTTTCAAAGTGTATAAGATGTATAAATATCTGGACCTTCGATGCAATGACAATATAGGAGATTACATTTTGTCTAAGAAGTTAAGAGGATGCTGACTATAGGATCTATTCTGTAATTTCTTAACGACAATATCGTTAGCACGATATATCGTTGCACAGCTGTTTTAGTATATATTATACCTGCACAACAACAACGCAACAATAACGACAATGTCGTAAAAGTAAGACAGAATAGGCTTGCTGGGATGCAATTCTGTAATTCATTAACTATCGTTAATGACAATATCAGTATATATTTAGTACTGTGTCGTTGCGCATCTTTTCTAATACATATTATACCTACGCAACATTAACAACAGTTAACAAACTATAGAATCGCACTGCTAAATTTGAAATCTTTACCGATAGAGTATTGAGCTTTTTCTGCAAAGTTTACATTGGGTGCTTTCCAGTTGCGTACACTGTGTTACACAAAACCAGTTTATTTGTTGCATATATATATATATATATATATATATATATATATATATATATATATATATATATA